TTGGCCAGGCTGGTCTTGAACTCCTGACCTCATGATCCACCTGCCTCAGCCTCCCGAAGTGCTGGGATTATAGGCATGAGCCACCGCACCCAGCCAAAACAGGAAATTTTATATAGGTCGTACTTCCCATAAGTGTTGGTATCTGAAGTACAAATTCATGGACAGTTCTGTAGGGAAAGATTGTTGTTGTTGTATTTTTTGTTTGTTTTCAGACGGAGTCTCTGTCGCCCACACTGTAGTGCAGTGGCGCAGTCTCTTGGCTCACCGCAACCTCCGCCTCCCGGTTCAAGCCATTTTCCTGTCTCAGCCTCCCAAGTAGCTGGGATTACCGGCACGCGCCACCATGCCTGGCTAATTTTTGTATTTTTAGTAGAGACAGGGTTTCACCATATTGGTCAGGCTGGTCTTAAACTCCTGACGTCAGATCCACCCACCTTGGCCTCCCAAAGTGCTGGGATTACAGGCGTGAGCCACCGAGCTGGGCCTATTGTTTTTAAGGGAGGATAGACCATGCAGAAAAATACTCACTTCAGCCTCACCACTAGGAGTACGAGAGTTGTCAGTAGTCATTAAAAACACCTAGAGTAAGAGGGACCCAGGTTTGAATCCTAGCTTTACCATCTGTGACCTTGGGCAAATTACTGTGTGAAATCTGAGTTTGCTTTTCTGTAGAATGGGGGACAACCTCATAGGACTGTTAGATAAGATGGGATATAATTAATATAAAGTAGCTGGCACACAGTAATATTCCATGAACAGTTGTATTTATGGAATAATTCCATACATTTATGGAATAGTATTTCTTTGCTACATAAGGATTGAGGTGTCATAATTAATCTCAGAAGCATCTTCTTTTTGTAAAGTGCCCTTATTAGTGAACCCCCACTTTTTTTTTTTTGTCTGTTTCCTTGTATAGCATGTGTAATATTTGGCAGTTAACATGGGTCCTCTTGTTCTATGACAGTAGTGAGAGACGTTTCTTCTAATTCTTGTATTCATTCCTCTATCCTAGTTTCAACAACGTGGCACAGTAATGACGACGATGTGTACAGGGCGCCTCCAATTGACCGTTCCATCCTTCCCACTGCTCCACGGGCTGCTCGGGAACCCAATATCGACCGGAGCCGTCTTCCCAAATCGCCACCCTACACTGCTTTTCTAGGGAACCTACCCTATGATGTGACAGAAGAGTCAATTAAGGAATTCTTTAGAGGATTAAATGTAAGTGTAAAAGTTGTAATAATTAACTAGATATTGAGGATAGTGTCTAAAAAAGACTAGTTGTGGAATCGGCAGTTGCTCTTAAACAACTAAAAATACAATTTAAGGCTGGGCATGGTGGCTCACACCTGTAATCCCTGCATTTTGGGAGTCAGAGGTGGGTGGATCATTTGAGGTCAGGAGTTCGAGTCCAGCCTGGCTAATGTTGTGTTCTTCTACTAAGAATACAGAAATTAGCTGGGCATGGTGGCACACGTCTGTAATCCCAGCTACTCGGGAGGCTGAGGTAGGAGAATTGCTTGAACCTGAGAGGGAAAGGTTGCAGTGAGCTGACATTGCGCCACTGTACTCCAGCCTGGGTGACAGAATAAGACTCTGTCTCAAAAAAAAAAAGAAATATAATTTAGTGGTTTTTTTTTTTTTTTTGGAGATGGAGTTTCGCTCTTGTTGCCCAGGCTGGAGTGCAACGGTGCAATCTCAGCTCACTGCAACCTCCATCTCCCAGGTTCAAGCAATTCTGCCTCAGCCTCCCAAGTAGCTGGGATAACAGGCATGTGCCACCATGCCCAGCTAATTTTTTATATTTAGTAGAGATGGGGTTTCACCATGTTGGTCAGGCTGCTCTTGAACTCCTGACCTCAGATGATCCACCTGCTTCGGCCTCCCACAGTGCTGGGACTACAGGCATGAGCCTCTGCACCTGGCCTGAATTCATACTTCTTTTAAGGGTTAAATTCATATAGTTCAAAATTCAGAAGGTATAATAGGGCATTTAGTAAAGTTTCTACTATCCCTCTGCATCAGTTTTCCTCCTGAGACAACCATGTTCTTGTGTATTCATAAAAATTCATGCACATACAGTAATGCTTTCGTACTCCTCTCAAAAAATGGCAAATGAAGAACGTTGGGAAACTTTGTTGTTTCTTATTCCTTCAGATCAGTGCAGTGCGTTTACGTGAACCCAGCAATCCAGAGAGGTTGAAAGGTTTTGGTTATGCTGAATTTGAGGACCTGGATTCCCTGCTCAGTGCCCTGAGTCTCAATGAAGAGGTAAAGAAAATAAGAGTGGGGATATGAGGGGTGTAAGTTCACAAATCTCGTGTTTATTTATCAAACTGATATTTTTTAGGTTGAGTGAGTGGCTCACTTCTAAGATTCCCATATCTACAAATAAAGGCCTGCATTATTTAACAGTATATCACTTAACATTCAACATTTAGCAAGTCACACTTCAGCAAATTCAGTAGGCCCCAATAATTTAGAGAGGTACTTAGGTGGAAAATTTTGGAAGAAACGCGCCACACACCATGTCTCTAAAAAAGTCTCACATTGGTTTACCCATAGTGTTGCCTCAACTCCTATGACTTTTTCAGAGTAATCTGACCTGATAAAGGCAAATAGAAAAATCAAATTTGTTTAGTATTGAAAGGCATATCTCATTTTCAGGGAAGTGTTGTAATGGTATTTTTTGTTCATTTAAGAGGATTTGGAAACATTTCCTACAAAGGAATATATTATAGGAGACAGACAAATATCCAATCCTTCTGCTTGTCAACACTGCCTACAAAATATTTTCCTGTCCCAGAACTTGAGAGGCTTATATCTCAGAAGAAAAAAGACTTTTTTCCTCCTTTAACTCCAAAAACACCTTATTGTTTATTGATAAGGCAATTTCTAGTGCCATTTGTGCCATAATTCGTGCCATAAGTCCTAATTTGCCCTATGACATGATTGAAATCAACACCTCTTAGAAATAGTTTTGCTGCCTCATAATTACCATCATCATAATCTGTCATCAGTGTGAAATAGAGATAAAAATTAATGTACTTAGTTAAATTTAAATGCATATGAAGGTCTAATGTTGTTCCAGAGTTACTCTTATTGGATTATTTTTAGATTTTATTAACTTTAGTGGTCTCTAACCTTACTCAGTCTGGATAAGAAAAAGAATACCATGCAGTTGTTAACTATTTGATGCTTACTAGATGAACTATTACTTAATATATTGTTGTGGTGCATATTTAAGAGTTACTTTGTTACTACAGATTTCATTATAGTGGTGTGTAATATAGTTTTGGGTATTTTTAACTAAAAATCATTGTTATCCTTCTTCAACTGTAGATTCTACTATGAAATGAGGAAAAATCAGCAGTAGAATTAATTGGGTTCAAAGTATGTAAATAATGATGTGGGAAAGGGAAGTCAGAGGGTATCTCTGGAAGAACTGATTTATCCAAAGGTAATACTGAGTGAAAGAACCTAAGATTGTAGACAAAGCATGCTTTATGCAATTTTGCAGGTGTATAGTACTAGTAGGGGCTCTATAAATGTGTTGGGTGTTTTTATTTTTAGGAGACAGGGTCTCGCTATATTGCCTAGGCTGGACTTGAACTCCTGGGCTTAAGTGATCCTCCCGCTTCAGCCTCCCAAATAGCTGAGACTGTAGGTACATGCCACTGCACCTGGCTTCTATAAATTTTGATAAATAATTGCTGTGGCACCAAATATGCCTTTTATTCAGCTAGTTATGTGAGGATTGTTTTTAATTTACTACACTTGACAAATTACCTTGGATCGTTAAAAAGTTAATTCTGTTCTGTGAAATTAAGCTTTGTAAAAGTAGTATGATAATTGACCTAATATTCAAAGCCAGCTTAAATTTGTTGAATTTTTAAGTCTTTATAAAGGACTCTTTAGCCCACAGATTGGAGTGTTAGCTAGATTACAGTGTTCTCCTTTATCTTCCTTCCCCTAGTGCTTCTGCTATGCCCAGACGTTCAAGGTCACTCAAGGGATTTGTGCATAATGGGGCAAAAGGTTGGTTAATATGGTCCTATGCTCTCAGTCTCTAGGTAACAGGAGAATTCGAGTGGACGTTGCTGATCAAGCACAGGATAAAGGTAAGGAAACTGGTAGAGATTTCTGACTGGTAATGGTCCTAGGATGACAACAAACCATCCTTTCCCAGAAAATTTTAATGGGGTAGTGGTGGGCCTGCCTGAATCTACAGTAACAGTTTTCAATCAGTTTTGCCCCACAGGGGATTTCTGGCAATGTTTTAAGACAGTGTAGGTTGTCACAATTGGAGGGAGTGCTGCTGACATAAGTAGAATCCAGGGGTTAATTCTGTAGGGGATAGGACAGTCCCTATCAACAAAGAATTATGCAGCCCAAAATGCATGTCAAGATTGAGAAGCCTGATTGATCTAGATGAACATTAAATAGATGGTAAATAGATTATCTGCCTAACAGCACAGTGGTCACAAAGGGGACCTAATTTGTGTATGTTTCACGGACTCCTGGCCTATGCAGAATTTGAGATAGCTAAGCATTAAATCAATAGGAAAAAATGGGAGGAAAAGAACCACTTGGGTTGAATTGGAGCATGTACTTATGGGGCCTGAGGTAACTGGGATGACAGTGTGATGTGAAAGTGAAAAATAGGGTCAAGTGGGGTTTTTCTATGTGTGAGAAACATCGGGCAAAGTTTTTATGAGCTAACTTACGGTTTTTGTTTTAATGTATCTGTAGACAGGGATGATCGTTCTTTTGGCCGTGATAGAAATCGGGATTCTGACAAAACAGATACAGACTGGAGGGCTCGTCCTGCTACAGACAGCTTTGATGACTACCCACCTAGAAGAGGTGATGATAGCTTTGGAGACAGTAAGTGTTTTTATGAAGTTAGTTTCTTCTGTGCTTTGGGAGGCTATTTAGTAATAGGCCAAATGTGTTACAGATGATCACATTAACAGATAGAGGGGGGAAAGCAGATTAAGAAAAATTTTGGATAATATCTGAAAGAATTGATAGATGCAGAAAGCAAATTTGACAAATTAATAATTTTATTTAGAAACTTAACCAAAGAAAGAGACAGACATTTCTCTTTTTTTGGAGACAATTGTTTATAAAGAAACCCAACCTGGGCATGGTGTCTCACATCTATAATCCCAACACTTTGGGAGGTCAAGGCAGGTGGATTGCTTGAGGCCAGGAGTTTGAGAGCAGCCTGGGTGACAAAACCCTATCTACCAAAAAAAAAAAAAAAAAAACACAGCTGACGTGGTAGTGCGCACCTGCAGTCCTAGCTATTCAGCAAGCTGAGGCAAGAGGACTCCTTGAGCCCAGGAGGTCTAGACTGGGTGACAGAGCGAGACCCTGTCTCCAAAAAAAAAAAAAAACCCAACACATTCTACAAAGTGAGCTATTTGAAATCAGAAAGAGACAGAGTCTTGCTCTGTCGCCCAGGCTGGAGTGCAGTGGCGTGACCTTGGCTCACTACAACCTCCACCTCCTGGGTTCAAGCATTTCTCCTGCCTCAGCCTCCCAAGTAGCTGGAACCACAGGCGTGCACCACCACACCCAGCTAATTTTTGTATTTTTAGTAGAGATGGGGGTTTCACGATGTTGACCAGGATGGTCTCGATCTCTTGACCTCATAATCTGCCTGCCTTGGCCTCCCAAAGTGCTGGCATTACAGACGTGAGCCACTGTGCCCAGCCGATCAGTTGCATTACTATATGCTTGTAGCAAACAATTAAAATACATCTTTTTTTTTTTTTTTACCCGAGACGGAGTTTCGCTCTTGTTGCCCAGGCTGGAGTGCAATGGCATGATCTCAGGTCACCGCAACCTCCGCCTTCTAGGTTCAAGTGATTCTTCTGCCTCAGCCTCCCGAGTAGCTGGGATTACAGGCATGTGCCGCCACGCCTGGCTAAATTTGTATTTTTAGTGGAGATGGGGTTTCTCCATGTTGGTCAGGCTGGTCTCGGACTCCTGACCTCAGGTGATCCTCCTGCCTCAGCCTCCCAAAGTGCTAGGATTACAGGCATGAGCCACCACGCCTGGCCTAAAATGTAAGTTTTTAAAATAAAAATATTGATTCACTTTAAAAATACTCAAGATATAGCAGTGAACAAGGATATAGCAGTGTAATTTTTTTCTAATAAAAATTGATTCACTTAAATGCTCAAGATACAGCAGTGAACAAAAACAAGAAAATCCTGTCTTTATTGGGCATATGTTGTTATAGCGGAGGGAAGAGAGTGTGTGAATAATTAAATAGTTGGGGTGCGGAAAGATACGGGAGTGGGAAATATCATGGGGTAGGAGTAGAGATTAATTATATACATCACTTTAACAAAAACCTTTATTGGGAAAATTATGCAACTTTATTAAAATACACAAAAATAGACGACACTAATTATTTTTAAAATGGAAAGAAGCTACTAGCTAGTAAAAATAAATTAGTGTTTTGTCTGTAAACAAATACTTAATAGCATAACAACAGGGATAAAATTCAAAACCTGTTACATTAAGGGGAAAAAAATTGTGTATAAATTTGAAAACAATACCATGTAGTATTAATGCATAAGTTGTAAAAAATATAAAGCTGTGCATGGTAATTTTAACCACCCTTGTGATTGTTGGTGGGGGTAGGGAAAATTCTGTTGTTACATCTGTAACATATTTCTTTTAAACAAAAAACTGAAACATGGCAAAATATGACATTCACTAAACCTAAGTAATAGGTTCATAAGTTTGTTATAATGGCTTCTTTACTTTTCTATATGTTTGAAATAGTTTAAGTAAAAATAGAAAAACTTAAATTTAAAAGCTCTTTGTTTTGTTTTTTTGAGACAGAGTCTCGCTCTGTTGCCCGGACTGGAGTGCAGTGGGCCTGCCAGGTTCAGGGTGTTCCTTGTGCCTCAGCCTCCTGAGTAGCTGGGATTACAGATGCATGCCACCACACCTGGCTAATTTTTGTATTTTTAAGTAGAGATGGGGTTTCACCATGTTGGCCAGGCTGGTCTGTAACTCCTTACCTCAGATGATCTGCCCACCTTGACCTCCCAAAATGCTGGGATTACAGGTGTGAGCTAGCGCTCCCAGCCACAAGCATTTTAATTTTGTGAGGTACCTTTTGAGCTTTGTACTAAATATAATTGAGGAAGCAATAAGAGATGTAATTCCTATTAGAGGAGAGTCTTTAACCATTTAAGATGTGGAAGGAAGAAGAATGGGTCATAGGTCTGAAAGAAGGGTAAATCAGCAAGTTTATATCTGACTTCTTACATGACTTTGACACAACAAAGCCTTGGGGAGAACTACCTGAGGTGATTAACTTCAGCATTTATGCAAGAGATTCTATTGTTAACAGGAAGAAATGGCTCTTGAAAGAAAAAGCAGACAATCAGACCAAGGGTCCTGTTTTGAGTCCAGGGGCATGACTTTTCTCACCTGAAACCTTGAATTTAGAGCAAGCAGGATGGATAACGAGTGAGTGTGCTGTTGTTATCCAAAGCTGCCCCAAAGTCAACTTAGTTAACCTGAATTAAAGATGCAGAGACTCCTATCCCAAGCATTAGGCCAAAAACAGAACCTTGAGGGGTGTTGGGGGGTATTACACTAAGTATTCCTGTGAAGTGTCAGTAATAGCATGTGCTGCTTTTCTCCAATGTGGATCTGTGCTTTCTCAATAAATGCAAGCTTATCATAATTTCAGTATTATCCAAATAAAATCAAGTGTAAATCGCATCTGCAGAAATTAAACCACATTTCAAAATAAACACAGGGCTGATTTTCTTGTGTCCGTTTTAGATCATTTCTATAATCATTTTACTAACATTAGCATGTTCTTTAATATATAAAGTTTATAATACTGGGAAATGTTATGTCTGGTCAGTAAAAAGTATGTGGTTTCCAAAATGAAATCATTATTTATATTTAAAAGACAGTAGCCACAAGAAAAAGATCCCTGGCCTGGCACCGTGGCTCACGCCTGTAATCCCAGCACTTTGGGAGGCCGAGGTGGGCGGATCATGAAGTCAGGAGATCGAGACCATCCTGGCTAACACGGTGAAACCCGTCTCTACTAAAAATACAAAAAAAAAAATTAGCCGGGCGTGGTGCCGGGTGTTTGTAACCCCAGCTACTCGGGAGGCTGAGGCAGGAGAATCACTTGGACCCGGGAGGCAGAGGTTGCATTGAGCCCATGATTGTGCGACTGCACTCCAGCCTGGGCAACAGAGGGAGACTCCGTCTCAAAAAAAAAAAAAAGAAAAAGATCCCTGTTTGGCCCCCGTATGTAAATTAATCAGCCTTATAAAATATTTGTAGGTTTTTTTAGTTAGTTAATTTATATTTAGAAATTCAGATTTTTTTTTTTAACATAAAAATCTGGGCTGCCAGCTTCTCTCAGAAAATTGGAAGATCCTAGCAACAGTCAACTGGAGCTAAATAGCAGCTATCCCTTTTACAGACAACTTAATGCTACCCAGTTTGCTATCTGAGTTACTACATTTCTTTATACAGATTTCTAGTATTTAGGTTCCTCTGATACTGAAATGCACATGTGTGTGTAAAATATAGTTTATAACAAACATCGCAACGAATGTCTTTGTACATGTATCTTTATCACACATCCAGTTATTTCCTCAGGATGAATTTCAAGAAATTAAATTGTTAGCCAAGAAGGGTATACATGACTTCAAAGCTTTTCATGCGTAGTTCTAATACAACTTTCAGTATTTATACTAATTTATTGATTTACTTATTTATTTTGAGAAGAAATCTCACTCTGTTGCCCAGGCTGGAGTGCCTTTGGCACAATCTTGGATCAATGCAACCTCTGCCTCCCTGGCTCAAGTGATCCTTCCACCTCGTCCTCCCAAGTAGCTGGGACCACAGGCCTGCACCACCATGCCCGGCTGATTTTTTGTATTTTTGATAGAGTTGTGGTTTCGCCACGTTGCCCAGGCTGGTCTCAAACCCCTGAGCTCGGACGATCCTCCAGCCTCAGCCTCCCAAAGTGTATTTGTACTGTTTAAAATTATGATCAGCAGTGCAGAAATTGATTAAAGCTCCTAAACTTCAATAGAAAATTATGTCCTGTTAGTCATATGTTGCATATATTGTTTCTCATTTTGTTTGCCTCTTAAATAAAGTAGTCTTTGTGGCTGGTTGTTGTGGCTCAGGCCTGTAATCCCAGCACTTTGGGAGGCCAAGGCTGGAGGATTGCTTAAGCCCAGCAGTCCAAGACCAGCCTGGGCAGCATAGAGAGACTCTCTCAAAAAAAAAAAAAAAAATTTTTTTTTTTTTGAGACGTAGTCTTACTCTGTCGCCAGGCTGGAGTGCAGTGGTGTGATCTCAGCGCAGCCTCCGCCTCCCGTGTTCACACATTCTCCTGTCTCAGCCTCCCAAGTAGCCGGGACTACAGGTGTGCATCACCACGCCCAGCTAATTTTTGTATTTTTAGTAGAAACGGGGTTTCACCATGTTGGCCAGGATGGTCTCAATCTCTTGACCTCGTGATCCGCCCACCTTAGCCTCCCAAAGTGCTGGGATTACAGGTGTGAGCCACCACGCCTGGCTAAAAAAATTTTTTTAATTAAAAAATAGGTGGTCTTTGGGATCACACATGGAAGATTCCAACTGTGTTGTTTTAGTGTCTTGTGCTTACTTTGATTTTTTTGTTTGTTTGTTTTGTTTTTTGTTTTTGCATATAAACCTTTTCTCCTTCTGGAAATTCATTATAGAATATTTAGGGATTTTTTTTATTTCCAACCCACCCTTCCCAGATTATTAGCTGAGCAACATTTATTTCACCTGAGAAACTTTTTGAGGAAATCAGATAGAAAATTTAAATAAACACAAATTCTTCCAAACTGGTCTGATAGCTTACCGTGTTTCTATTAATGGTGTCAGAGAAAAGGGGATGGTGTTACTTGTCTCTTTTCTCTAGAGTATCGAGATCGTTACGATTCAGACCGGTATCGGGATGGGTATCGGGATGGGTATCGGGATGGCCCACGCCGGGATATGGATCGATATGGTGGCCGGGATCGCTATGATGACCGAGGCAGCAGAGACTATGATAGAGGTAATTGTAAAATGTTTATGTTGAATTGTTCTTTCAGTAACTTTTTTGCTTCTTTTTCTCTCTCTGCTATGATGATTATAATTTGGGATATGTTTACAGGCTATGATTCCCGGATAGGCAGTGGCAGAAGAGCATTTGGCAGTGGGTATCGCAGGGATGATGACTACAGAGGAGGCGGGGACCGCTATGAAGACCGATACGACAGACGGGATGATCGGTCGTGGAGCTCCAGAGATGATTACTCTCGGGATGATTATAGGCGCGATGACAGAGGTAATAGTTTTCTTTTTACTTACATGGAGCAGAAACTGGGAAAACTACAGAAAATTTGTGATTGTGTTACAAACCACTGAGTTGGGCACAGATATAATTTGCACATTGTACAGGAAGCAGCAAAGCATAGTAGAAAGAGCATTGGCTGGCCAGGCACAGTGGCTTACGCCTGTAATCCCAGCACTTTGGGAGGCCGACGCGGGCGCATCACGAGGTCAGGAGATAGAGAGCATCCTGGCTAATGGTGAAACCCCGTCTCTACTAAAAATAGAAAAAGTTAGCCAGGGGCAGGCGCTTGTAGTCCCAGCTACTCGGGAGGCTGAGGCAGGAGAATGGCGTGAACCCGGGAGGCGGAGCTTGCAGTGAGCGGAGATCGCGCCACTGCACTCCAGCCTGGATGACAGAGTGAGACTCTGTCTCAAAAAAAAAAAAAAAAAAAAGCATTGGCTAAGGATGACATCAGTGGAAATACAGCAGTCGAATTCCTTTCATCTCATATGCCTTCACAGATAGATTTTTTCAGTTAAAATTTATTGAATAAACAGTAGAAATGGAAAAAAAAAATTGCCAGATACTGTTATGTTGTGATCTCAGTAAATTACACTTAAAGCAGATAGTTTTAGCTACATTTTTCAAGTGAGGGAAATGAAACTCAGATTAAATGTAGTCCTGTAGCGCATCATTGGTACTGTGGGGTTGAAAACTAAGCATTAAGGGTAGGTGCAGTGACTCACACTTGTAATCTCAGCGTTTTGGGAGGCCAAGATGGGCAGATCATTTGAGGTCAAGAGTTCGAGAACAGCCTGGCCAACATGGTGAAACCCCGTTTCTACTAAAAATACAAAAATTAGGTGGCTGGAGCGGCACACACCTATCATCCCAGCTACTCGGGAGGCTGAGGCAGGAGAATTGCTTGAGCCCAGAGGCGGAGGTTGCAGTGAGCTGAGATTGCACCACTGCACTCCAGCCTGGACGATAGAGTGAGACTGTCTCCAAAAAAAAGCATTGCTGATTTCAGTACCATTATACCATAATAATTGATGTTCATTAATTATAAAGGTGAGATTTTGGTACACCTATTCTAAAACCATGCCCTAATACTATAAGATATAAAATGCAAACTGTTACAAATCTAACCTGTTAGAAAATACTAATAAATGGCCACCATTTGTGTTCTAACTTCAGTAATGTCATATAAAAGGTTATGGCATGTGTCCCAGAATTTTTTCTTTTTTTTTTTTTTTTTTGAGACAGAGTCTCGCTCTGTTTGTTGCCAGGCTGGAGTGCAGTGGCATGATCTCAGCTCACTGCAACCTCTGCCTCCTAGGTTCAACCAATTCTCTTGCCTCAGCCCCCCGAGTAGCTGGGACTACAGGCGCACGGAGTTTCACCGTCACTAGTAGAGATGGGGTTTCACCATGTTGGCCAGGATGGTCTCGATCTCTTGACCTCGTGATCCGCCTGCCTTGGCCTCCCCAAAGTGCTGGGATTACAGGTGTGCGCCACTGCGCCTTGCCAAAAAAACTACATTCTTAAAAGCTATTTCCTCAAGCAAGAAGCCTAAAAATAATAACTAACATTTATTAACTACTCTGTTCCATCTGTGAGCTGAGTGCTTGTACAAGTATTGTTTAACTCTGACTTCTGTGTGGTATAGGTAAAATTACAAGTTAGAAAAGTGGAGGCTCAGATGTGAGCTTCATGTTCTCCTTGACTTCTGACCTTTTCCTGTCTCACACTGTCCCTTACCTCCCCACCAAAAGCTGCATACCTGATTTTTTTTCTTTTTCTCTTCTTGCTCTTACCCCCAATTCCCTCTAAGATCTGCTGTCTTGTCTCCAGTCGCTGCTGCTACCTTTGTTGAAGCCTCATTGCTGCACCCACATTACTGGCCATTGCCTCCTAACAGAGTTCCCTTCCTTGCTCCGTTCTTCACACTGGCCCCAGTTGTCAGTTGTCTTTCTGGCATAAGATCTAATTACCCTATTCTTCTCTGTTTAGACCTTTCTAGTTTCCCCAGGACCTGGAAGATAGCCCTTTCTCTATACCTCTGACATACACGGGCCTTCACTGTTTGCCCACCATTTACTTTTTTTTTTTCTTCTTGAGACAGGATCTCATTCTGTTGCCTAGGCTAAAAGTGCAGTGACATAATCATGGCTAACTGTAGCCTCAGCCTTCTGAGCTCAAGTGATCCTCCTACCTTATCCTCCCCAGTAACTGGGACTATAGGTGCATGCCATATGCCTGGCTAATTTTGATATTTCTTATAGAGATGGGATTTCTCCATGTTGCCAAGGCTGGTTTTAAACTTCCAAATTCAAGTGATCCACTTGCCCTCGGTCTCCCAAAGTGCTGGGGTTACAGGCATGAGCCACTGTGCCCGGCTCTATTATTTTATTAATATCTTAAATATCTGAAGTGAGCTACTTTTTCTGAGCCCCCATTTTATCTTATAAAAGTGACAGGGCTATAATACAGATGGAAAATACGTCTAGGAACATATATAAACTGTCGACTTTAAGCCCTCATAGAAAATTTAGATCTTGTTAAACAGTACCCTCTATCTACAGGTACTATGTACATACGTAGTAAAAGTATAAAGTCAAGTGTGGGCATGATAAAGTCACCATCTAGTGGTTATTTAGAGGACAGAGTGCAGCTGGTCATGTCATCAGGAGGTTTTACCTCTTCGTTAAGGTTACATTACTTAAGTCAGGTGATTGTATAGATAGACTTTCTTTGTATCTTTGGTATATCCAAAATATTTAGGACAAACAATGATTTTTAGTAATTTAACTTCCTTGAAACACTTAGGTTTCTCTTTAAAGTATTCTGACAACTTGAATCAAGGAAGAAATCAGGCTGCCTTAAGAGTTTATTTGTTCAATGTTACATGCTTTGCCCCATGAACCACCTGCCAAATTTATATTATACACAGAGACAAAGGTATAAGATTTAGAGTCTTCCTGGCTGGGCGTGGTGGCTCACACCTGTAACAGCACTTTGGGAAGCCGAGGCAAGCGGATCACTTGAGGTCAGGAGTTCAAGACCAGCCTGGCCAACTTGGTGAAACCCCATCTCTACTAAACGTACAAAATTTAGCTGGGCATGGTGCCACGTGCCTGTACTCCCAGCTACTCTGGTGGCTGACGCAGGGAAATCAGGGAGGCAGAGGTTGCAGTGAGTTGAGATCACACCCCTGCGCTCCAGCCTGGGTGACAGAGCGAGACTGTCTCAAAAAAAAAATAAAAGAACTAGAGTCTTCCGTATCATATTGTATTAGTTCTTAACACACAGATTTCAGAGCAAGATACTTTCATCCAGTAGTTTAATGATGGTCAAAACTTTTTCCCATATAAAAGAAATCTTAATAGATTATTAATTTATCACTTTTTTTTTTTTTTTTTTTTTTTTTTTTTTTTTTTTTTGGTGGAGAACGGGATCTCGCTATATTACCCAGGCAGGTCTCGAACTCCTGGGCTCAAGCTATCCTCCCGCCTCTGCCTCCCTGAGAGCTGGGATTACAGGTGTGAGCCACCGCGCCTGGCTTTCGCTTTGTTTTTTTTTTGTTTTTTTTGTGTGTGTGGAGAACGAGATCTCACTATATTACCCAGGCAGGTCTCGAACTCCTGGGCTCAAGCTATCCTCCCGCTTCTGCCTCCCTGAGAGCTGGGATTACAGGCGTGAGCCACCGCGCCTGGCTTTCGCTTTTTTTTTTTTTTTTTTTTTTAATTTATCACTTTAATGTTTACCATTTTTAGTCTTTCCTGTGGTCTTGAACTACATCATGGATGTGGTACAAGAGTAATTGAAGTTGATTGGTTTTTTGTTTGTTTGTTTTGTTTTTTGAGATGGAGTTTGGCTTTTGTCGCCCATTCTAGAGTACAGTGGCACCAATCTCGGCTCACTGCAACCTCCGGCTCCTGGGTTCAGGCGATTCTCTTGCCTCAGCCTCCCAAGTAGCTGGGATTACAGGCATGTGCCACCACTCCCGGCTAATTTTGTATTTTTAGTAGAGACTGGGTTTCTCCGTATTGGTCAGGCTGGTTTCGAACTCCCAACCTCAGGTGATCTGCCCGCCTCGGCCTCCCAAAGTGCTGGGTTTACAGGCGTGAGCCATCACACCCAGCCAGAACTTGGTTATTTATGCCACCTATTTTTATTTTTTTTTATTTATTTATTTTAGGCAGAGTTTTGCTTTTGTTGCCCAGCCTGGAGGGCTGGAGTGCAGGGGTGCGATCTTAGTTCACCACAAACTCTGCCTCCCAGGTTCAAGTGATTCTCCTGCCTCAGCCTCCTGAGTTGCTGGGATTACAGGCACGCGCCACCATGCCAGGCTAATTTTTTATTTTTAGTAGAGATGGGGTTTCTCCATGTTGGTCAGGTTGGTCTCGAACTCCCGACCCTAGGTGATCTGTCCGCCTCAGCCTCCCAAAGTGTCGGGATTACAGGTGTGAGCCACCACACCCCGCCTAAGCTACCTTTTTTTTTTTTTTTTTTTTTTACTGTTGA